AGTTCCACGTGCCATGTTTGATGGATGTCAGTTATCAGTTATCTCCTGCTAATTTCCCTCTGAAAGTTCTCCAATGCCTTAACCGGGTATTGAACTCACACTCTGATCTAACAAACGCCTTTATCCACTGTGCCATGTGTCCTTGAGGACATCTGGGTATGAATTTCTGGATATTATAAACCTCATGTCTTCAGCAACCATTTTTACCAGTGCTCATATTGCAATTTTGCTGTTATCATTTCATGTTTTTCCAGAGCTCATATTGCAACTTTGTTGTTATCGTTGCTAGGCCACAAAAATCTCCTGAGCCGACCAAGCATAGAAATAAATACAATATGGGAACCAGTAATAAGGAGTGCCAGAGAAAATCAATGATAACAACAAAGTTGCAATATAAAAAATAAAATAAAACCATGGTCCAGGTTACATGTTGATTTTGCAGGACCAATGAATTCCTGGTACTATTTAGTAAAAGTAGATAGTTTTTCTAATTAGCCAGATGTGGCAAGATATAGCAGATCGACAACCAGGGATACCATTAAAATATTACAAGAACTGTTTGCCAGTTTTGGAATTCCAAACACAATAGTAACAGATAATGGCACACTGTTCACGACAGCTGAATTCAAGGAATTTTGCGGAGAACAGACGTGTTTGATCGTGATCAAGGCTGGCAAGAATCGAATCATCAACAGGAATCATTGCATTGGTTTGGTCCGGGCAGAGTGAAATCACAAGTAACAAAAAATAAAAGAAAATGTTTTTATATAACGTTCTTTGTACAGAGATGGTATAACAACACTCGAGGTTCGGTTCATATCTAAAGGAATCCTATTTAGCAATTCACACTTTCCACCCTCTCTGACAAGTGAAATAAATCAATTCTTAAAACCTTAAAAATATCTCTTCATCGATTCCCTTTTGTGCCTGTGACCAGACTTACCATAATCCATACTTTAATGAGCGGACTTTAATCAATATCTTCATATTTGTCTTCTTTAACAAAATTCTTGAAAATACATGACTGCTGTACATTTCCTGTGAAGTATAATGGTTTTATTGAACAAAACTACAAACAAATTTTCACAAAAAGATTACACATTTTAGCTACCCCTACTACCCATAGCTTTCATTGCACATGGCACAGAAGTCAATGATGTTAATATTTTTTCAGTTCATCTAATTTATCATTCAGCCCCTCTTCCAATTTTGGTATCTCTATGGACTTGTCCTTTGCAGATCTTTGAATGGCATTGGACTTTGCAATAAGTGTGAAGTTCTGAGTCTGCTCAGCTTTCTCAGCATAGATGTCAGCTGACTTGAGCAAATGTTTTGTGCAACTTTCAAGCTTGTATTCTTGGTATCCAGTTCTTCAATTTCCGTATGCATGGATTTCTGTTTTTGTCCAGCTGCTTCTTCCTGATCTTTATTTTCTACACAGCCTCAAGATATTGGTTGTATTCTGTTCTGGCATTGGAAGCACTGCAGAAAAGAGCCTTAGTCATGAGAACACTCCAAGCACCTCCAAATGTGACCAAATAGTCCATGATAATGCACTCTGCGACCAGGTCGCCGTTTCATATTGTTCTTGGAAATTTAATTGACTGAGAAACCTTTTCTCCATTGAAGCCCGTCCATGAGAGAGTACCAGCAATCTGCGAACTTTCCAAAGATTTGATATTCTTTGTTGCTAGACAAAAGTGTCCAGACAGCCTTCATGCTGGCTAAAATTCTTGCAAGCAATATTTCCAGAAGCCTCCATCTTGATCTCTTTGTACTGACTGATGATGTCATCACAATCAGACTTGCTGACTTTTCTGCCCATCATGTGGTAAAGACATTTTTATTCATCTGCGGCAGATTTTTTTTTTACAAATGGATTCTAGGTGCAGCCATGCAAATGACCTTACAAGATGGTATCTAAGAGGTTACTTTGCCAGAAGTTTCTCAATGATGATGAAAATTGCTGCAATTTTGCATACAAACTTTTGTTCCACATTTCCTTTTTTGTATAAATTTTACATAGATCAGGTAGAAATTCACACACGGAGTTTGACAAAATTCTTACAAATTCAGTTTGGAAAATGTATATTTTTAGTGTGCTCTTCCTTCAACAAGTTTTTCATGTTCGTGCTAAAAGGACCATTAGCATTGAAAGGTAATAACAAATTATTACTGAAATTTTATCAGAAACGATTCAACGTCTTTTGAAATAAAGTTTCACTGGAAATAAAAGGTCATTCATGTTTGACAACACTGCAGAGGATTTTTTCTGTTATTTTTTTAAAAATCTGGCTAGATATCTATTTGTTCACGTTTGTACATTTTCTAGACATCTATGGCTACAAAACTGGCCAACTCCTGGCATCACCTTTCCCCATTTTTACCAAAAATGGAGATATTGTGGCGTATGAGTAAGGGTTTTGGTTTTGTTTATATATACTCTGCACCCAAGGCAGATATACAAAAGTAAAAGGATAAAGTCAAGTAATAAAAGCCAAATAAGTTAATATATTTCATAATTTTTTGATACTTACAATAAAAGCTAGATACAAGTCATTGCTAAACTGCAAACCTCGAAAAAATAAGAATGTTATTTTTAAAGACGCATTTTCTATTCTATTATCCTTCCCAATTTACATTTTCTTTGACTCAAATTCGATTCTCAACAATTTAAACAAATGTAGTTTACACACAGACACAAACTGATAAGACGTAAAGTATCTTCAATTTTTCACCATGAACTCACCTACCGTTGACTAGAGATCAAAAGGACTTTTAATTTTGAAATTGACATATCAATAAAATTTCAACTGTTCAAATTTCAAACAACACTGATAAATTTTGAGATTCTACTAAAATGTATTTTATTACTATGAAATAACTTATTTTCCTTTCAACTACAAAATGAGTGTGAATTAATTTATCTTTGGAGATGTTTACTTGTCTCTGGTGCCTTTTCTTTTTCCTTTTCCTCTTTTCTTGTTCAGTAAGGGTAGCAGCTAGAAGATACTTCATATTCTCTCTCTATTTCTTTCTCATCACCTAGATGAGAAAATGCAAATGTAATAATGGAGTCATGGACTTGTTTTAATCAAGGAAACATACCACCGTTCACAATAATTGCCAAACATTACTGATGACTGATTTTTTCTTAAAAGGACAATTTTAGCTTGTAGAAAAGCCAAATTTCTAAGATTTGACAGTGACTTTTTTTGGCTTTTGCAGTTTTTCCATGACATTTCATGCCTGGAAAAGCCTGTCAACTTTCCAAAACTTTTCAAGGTTTTCAGGAGCTTTACAAGTTCTCTGAAAAATATGTCAGTTACCAATTTGGTACTGAAAATGAAAAGACATCAGGTTTGTGGTACTCAACGAGCTTCTTGAAAATGGACAAGTGAACAGAAGTATCAACAGATAACTCGACATGGATCCCACAGCAATACAAACCAAGTTCCTGTTGGCTGAGAAATGACGCTTATGTCATGCCAGCCCCACTTCTTCCCACAAGGCCAATATCATCAACTATGTCAAGATGTTGGACATGGTGATCAAGGGCTCACTCATCACGATGGATGGTTGTTCTCAAGAAGGCTCTTTCCTTTGAACATCAATTGGGATTCCAGCTCACCACAGACCTCAAGTGGAATTCCTATATATGATCTATTGCTAAAGATACTGGTAAAATATTTGCTTTCTTGTACCACTTCAATATGACTCTCCCTGCTGAACTTCTTTACAAGAGTCAAATCAAACCAAAAATGAGTATAGCTGTCATATCTGAATTGGAGTTCAAAAGTGTCTAGGTGACCTTGTGTCTAAGGAATTATTTTCCACCCAACAACCCCTTTCTCCAGAGAGTAAACATTGCAAGCCTATCACTTTTTTTTTGGTTTGATTTGACTCTTCCATGGCAAGTGTTCTGTTGAGCTAAACTCCTTGGTTTCTGACCTTTGCAACTGAAACCTGATATGTCATGTACACAATGGTGAATCATCCTCATTTCCTTCGTATTCCATTAGTAAGAAAGTTCCATTCAGACTGTTCCATGAAGCAGCAGTCATTGGGAAGAGGCAGACTCCAGGCAAATGATTCTCTCGGTCACTACAATATTGACCTCTTCAATTCTAGTGTTATCTTTCCTACATAACTTCATGAACAGTATTTCTTGCCTTTCCTTACACTCGTTTAACATCAGACAGTAACACTACCTTGAAGGTTCTTGGCACTTATATTGAGTGAACATTAGTATGAATTTTTAAAAAAAGGTGGGTGTATGTGGACTAGCAGAACTCCCACATGACTCAAAAGGGGGTGAATTTTTATAATCATGTTAGCTGCAACAAGTGGCCAGCTTGCATTTATACTTTCAAACCCATGGACTATTAAATGTGAAGTGCCATTGAATATGATGGTCAACATAAACTACCTGATCCAGGTATGTAGTTGCTTCAGAGTTCATATCAAGGTTGACTTTGAGGACAGTTTTATTGTGTTTTTTTGGTGTATTTTTTTTAAGTTGAACATGACCACAATTTTTTTTTAAAAATAAACTTGCTCTGTTGAATATCTTTATCTTCGATTGTTTTCATCTAGAAAAGATTTTATAGATATTTTAAGTCTTTTGCTGAAAATGGAAAATTCTGAAATATTTTTCAACCTGAAAATCTTCAACAAAATATTTTTTTATTAGTTAAATAGTTCTTTTATTACCAATAGTGAGAATGACAGTGATGACATTATGATTATGTACAAAATGATAGCAAAACTCCAAAGGTCAGAAGTAAAATAAACGCCAAAGGTTTTTGCAACAGAAAAACATTTTTTTTGTCATTTTTATGAGATTTGAAAATAACAAAAAGAAAAGAGTAATGGAAAATTAAATGTCCATGAGAAGAAAATGGATGAAATTCAATTTTTTTTTGTGTCTTTGATAAGATTTCAAATGTCATAGATGAACAGAATCAAAGGAATTGTGACAGCAAAGATCAAATTGTGTTTTAAAATGCATATCGAGTTCTGGTGTCTTCCAGCTTTTTGGATACCTGAAAATATATAAAATAATAATAAATGAACATCTTGTCTATATCACAATATAAAGTAACAGATGCTGCTATATGAAGCTATCATGAGATTTACTGCCATAAAGAAATAATCAAGACATTAGTTTAACAAATTTCAATGACAGGAATAATTCTCTTTAGCAATGTGATTTGTTTGGTATAAACAGAGTAAGCATATATATGCCTAGATAAAAAATGCCTAATGTAAATGAATAAAATAAAATCCTACTGTCAAAGTTCATAGATACATTATTTCAACAAGACTTTTTAAAAAATCTGATTATATTTTCTGATGAGAATTAAATTCCTTGTGAAGATTTTACATATTTCACAGAAATAGAACTCATGGTTTAAAACTACAATTTTTGTGGTACAGAAAAATAATCTTCAAATGGTGAGGGCAGCTTTTAGCAATGAGATTCTTGTGAAAGTGTTTATTCAATGTGCTTTCTAAATAGAAAAATATTAAAAAAAAAAAATAAATAAATATTAAAATGTTAATTTTATGTAACTCTGTAATTTAACAAAAATTTGTAATGCTTTATAAAGCTATCAAATGTGCACACAGAACAAAAATGTTACAGGTTACAAAAATAATTACAATTTCAAAATTAGTCAACACAAAATTAATTTTAAATTTATCTAATTTTTCAATTTTTTTTTCTAAATTGTTATAAAGAAAAAACATTCAAGTTTCGGCTTACCTCACTGGTAGTACGATCTAAATCATCACAGACGCCTTTTTGTTTCAAAACATCCATTGAATTGAACATTTCACACAAATCACCATCAATAACATTCTGTAAAAAAAAAAATATCAATCTATGATAAATCAATCTGTGTGTGTGTGTGTGTGTGTGTGTGTGCACATATATACACACAGCTGACACAGTTAATTGGTTTGCCAACACATCACATTATTCAAAAACTGTATATTCAAGACCATTATATATAAGGGCTTAAGTATACTGATGTTTTGGAGCAGGTATAAAATCAGGATTTTCAAGAATGGAATGAGATTTCTTCTCTTGACATCATCAAAGAACTGTTGCAGTGGCTCTATTTTTAAAGCAAATACACTTCAAGATGTTTATCCTCATGCATCAAAGATTCATTCAGGATAAGTTCCTTGAAAGACAGCACCCTTTTTCAAAATATTTTTTCACTTCAGGTATAAAACAGAATTGAATCCAATCAAAGAATAAAATGTCCATAACTCAAACCTTATTGTGTTGCCAAGACAAACAATTGCCTCATGAATGCAGGTAAGATTCAACATTTTTTCCCAGATTACTTTTTTTGATGTGCTTGGAACTGATTCCAGTTCAGCCAACATTAATTCTTCTATTATGTTGAGGTTAGAGTGCTTTATAATGCTACTGATTGCTAAATTTAAATGCCTTATTACTCTCAAAATACCCTCATTTGCTTCTGCACTATTTAACACTTTCTCAGTCTTTACAAGTACTTTATCACGAAACAGACACCAGTTTAACATCTTTCCAGACAAACAACTGACACATTTGCAACTTTTTTTGTTTTATGAATAACAGAATTATTTCCAGACTACTTCAGGCACAGACATGGTTTTCAACTGATGCAACATTTATAACTTTTCTTGGAAAATAAGCACTTAAGCATTTCATTACTGACTAGTGATTTTACCAACTAGTTTTGCCCATAGAAATGGGTAAAACAAAAATAGCACAATTAGCTAATGCTAGAAACAAAATAAACCTCATGGGAAAGTTAGGAAGTTTTAAGGGCAAAAAACTCAGAAAATGAAAAATGGCAAAAGGAATTAGAGTTTTTCTCTCTTACATTAAGTGATGCAGAACAGGAGATAAAAAGTGAATTTTTTTTTTTTTTGTAAAAAATATTTTGTGTATGTTCAAAACTGCCCTATTTAGAACCTCATAAAATGTGAGTACACTATATTGAACAAAGATCTTTTATGTGTATGCAGCCCTAGCTCATCTAGACTGGGCCTTTACTACAGAGATCTTCTATAAAACCCATATCACCATCTTCCACTGGCTAGCAGCCATTCAAATAACTAGGAAGTAGGATTCATTCATCATAGGTGCCCTGCTTGCTTGGCTTTCATTTGAACATATCAATGAGGAAAAGTTTAACAGTTTGTACTAGCTTAATTCAGTAGGCATCTGAACAATCAGATCTTAGCAGTTCTATTAGGTTTTAACAGAAACAATTTATATATATTATACACACAAAGGGATGTTGAAAATTTCTAATTTTTGGTCAGATTTTGGAATGTGTATTGGGCTAAGAACTTTTCAGCACTTCATATATATTATGTGCAAGGAAAATTATTTGTGAGGGGATTCTTTGATGTATGCTGAATAACCTCAAGATAGGGTTTCACACACTCCTGTATTTAAAATCTTGATAATAATGTGATATGTTTCATAAAATTTTATAGAGAATATACATATTTTCTGATAACTTAGAATTATACAAAAGCCAAAAAACAGAAACATGACAGCATTCCTTTCACAGTATTTGCCTTTAAGAATATACAATTCAGTAATTAATAAACTGGTCCAAATGCCCCAAATCAAACTTTAATTTGCATGTTGATAACAATTTAAAAGAAAAATATTATTCAATTGTTGATAAAAACACTGAAAGAACATGGTTACCTTGACTGGAAAGTAATATGATCTAAATGAAAGATGATCTCTGCCACAAAGTGGAGGATGTTCTGAGCGCATGTACATTTCTAAATGTTGGAAGAAATCATGATCCTGAAATAAAATGAAATTATATCATTTAAGATATTCATATGAAATCATTAGCAAGTTCTTAAGTAAAAAGTGTATTAACACAAAAAAAAAAAAATTTCAAAATTTATATTTATTCAAACTATTTAATAAAAAATTGCTGAAACATTTAATAAATATAAATTTCCCTTTCATTATTCACCAAAGTTGACGTTGATCAACAATTGGCACAATGAATAAATTCAATAAAATTTACTGATTAAACTGCTTCTGAATTCTTACAATGAAAAGGACACTACAAAAAGGAAAAGATTCCAGGGGATAAAGCAAATTATAAAAAAAAAAAAAAAATATAACGTTATATAGGAATAAAGTACTGCTGCCAACACTTGAGTTTGAACATGGATTGCCAATGAGCAAACACAGGCAATCCCATTATTGAATTAAGTAGACCACAGGACCAGAGAGGAAATGCATGTATGGAAGGTAGCATGTGTCAAATTGATCTGCATTTCTATATTACTATACAGACTGCTATTCTCTATTCGAGCAAGTACTATTAGTGCAAGATTATCTGAAGGCATCTGACACCAGCATTGTTCAATGGCGTACTATAATTGCATCGGCAATTACAAAGTCTCTACTACAACAAGCATTACGAAAGTGACAACAAGTATTTGTTGATATCACAAAAATGTCAAACAAGTGTTTGCTGACACCACAAAAGTGGCAACAAGGATTTGCGAGAATTCCTTGAACTTACACAATGATCCGTTTAGCAAAATGAAAGAACTAAAAGCTATCATGGTTCAAATGTTGGTGCTACAAAGCAACAACAAAAATTACAACAAGAACAACAATTGCAACTACAACAAAAGATGTTTTTTGAGTGGTTTACCAAAACCATGGAAGGAAAAACTCCAGATTCTGTTGCTAATTCAATCAGTGAACTTGTGTACAATCCAGATGAAGGGATAACTTTTCCAGCTTATTATAGAAGATACAAAGGGATCTTCAAAAGGGATTGTTTGCATTGGAATGATGAAAAGTTTGTTTATTATTAAGGAAATTATTATTATTATGTGAATTATATTTTGCCAAAAAACTAAGAGAGATGAATTTTGATGAGACTGTTCTAATACTATCAAAAGTTTTTGGTATAGGAGTTCATTATTTAATACACGATGGCAATGTCTTAACTTAGTAAAGTCCGACAATGAAGATTTTGTCACTTATGCAGGAGTCGTGAATCAAGAATGCGAGAAGTTCAAGTTAAATGAATTAACTCTTGATTTATTCAAATGCCTGATATTCATACAGGGTTTAATTTCTAAGGATGCGGAGATAAGACCCAGGATAGTTGCTGAATTAGAAAGGGATACCAAATTAACTCTCCGGAAAATAGAAGAATGTCAACATATTGTTAATTTGAAACTCAATATTGCAAGAATTGAAGAAAAAGACAATTCACAAGTACATAGTGTCTGACCATCTAAGAGGAAAAACTACAAACGTTTTTCAACTCCAAATAACAGGAAAAAAAGATGATAAAATAAACCCCTCTCAATGCCTAATACTTGTCATGGTTGTGGAGGTAAGCATTTTAAAAACAATTGTTTCTTCAAAAACAAAAAAATGCTATGAATGTGGGAGATTAGGACACAAAAGTATGTGTTGCTGATACAAAAAAATGGAGAAAAAATAAAACGTGTGAACATGATAAATACATAGAGTAACAATAAGAAATCTAAAAGGGGAATTAACAACACATCTCAAAAGAAAAAAATTGTTTTGGTGCAAATTAATGATGTAAAAATAAAATTGCAACTAGTTACAGGATCTGATATCACTATCATAAATGAACAGAGAGAGAAAAATTGGTAAACCCAGTTTATCGACTTCTCAAAGTTGTGCATGGAGTGTCAGGAATGAGATTGAACTTTTTGGATGAATTCAGCTGTAACATTTCTTTTGTTGAAAAAACGAAAAAAGCAGTGGTATTAAAAAAATCTGATAATTTGTTTAGAACAGACTGGATTGCATTGTTTGATTTTTGGGACATTCCAGTTAACTCTTTTTGCAACAAGATAAACATTGTTACTCCCAGTACTAATACGGCAACTGAAAAAGAGTTTTCCAGAATTTTTCTCAGAAGGTCTAGGGACATGCACAAAAGCAAAGTTTGAGTATTTACAGAATAACACTAATCCCGAACACTGTGTCTAGAATGTCGCCTGCAGAGTTGATGTTCACCAGGAAGATTAAGTCCGTATTTAACATATTACTACCAGAACAGAAGATGAGAACACCAAGGAATCAAAATAATATAAATAAATATTTTAAACCTGGTGATAAAGTGTTTTTTTTTTTAAAAATGTACTAAAGTGAAAAAGAATTCTGAGTAGATGAGGTTAAAAAAAAACGGATCGGGAAAATGACATACATGGTACAGGAACAAAGGCGGGAATATAAGCAGCAGGTTAATCAGTTAGAGATTCACTGATTTAGTAAGTCCACGAAAAGAGGTACCAATGGAAATATTGTATGACATGTTTGATGTACCCATGCCACCAGAAATTAGTGAACCGAGGAGGTACAATAAAAGAAAAAAAACAGCAACGGAATATATGAATATTGAACGGAAGCTGAAGAAATATAGACTCCAGAGGAAGTCATCTCAATGGGGAGGTGTTATATAGGAATAAAGTGCCGCTGCCGACACTTGAGTTTGAACACAGATCGCCAGTGAGCAAACACAGGCAATCCCATTATTGAATGAAGTAGACCATGTGATCATAGAGGAAATGCATGCACGGGAGCTAGTGTGCATCTAATTGATCTGCATTTCTAGTCTATCCTCTATTACTATACAGAACACTATTCTCTATACGGATTACTATTCAAGCAAGTATTATCAAGCAAGTACTATTAGTGCAAGAATATTCAAAAGGCATCTGACAGTGTACTATAGTTGTATCTGCAATTACAAAGTCTCTACTACAACAAGTATTACGAAAGTGACAATAAGTATTCATTGGCATCACAAAAGTGTCAAACAAGTGTTTGTTGACATCACAAAATATAATAGGTACCTCCACTTTTTAGCTGAAAAAACAGCATAGCATGATGAAAAAAAACAGTTTTATCATCAAAGTGTTTATGCTACTACTAAGAGAAAAGACCAAGTATTTTTTTTATTATTTTATTAAATTTTTTAATCCGTTCCAGCACGTTGGAAATAAATCATTTTTTTTTTTTTTTACATTAGTAGTTGATGTAATATTTATGATTAGTGTTATAGCACCCGTTTTCTTTTTTTTTTTCAGGTGAAAAACACATTGATTTGGAAATTCTTGCAAAAATCAAATAATTGTTAGATTTTAATGAAACTTTCAGGTCTTATTCACAAATTAAATTATTTTTTAAAATATATTCTTCTTTTAGAAAATCTTGGTAAAATTTTTTTTTTTTTTTTTACATATATTACCATTCCACTTATATTCATGAAATTTCAACCAATTAAATTCTCATTTGAAAATTTTTTCTCCAAGTCAAAAGCAGGTCTCCTAGGAGAATGTACCCCCCCCCAAACTACTACTCATTTCCTGAAAATCTAATCAGAGAATAAAAAAAAAAATGCAATAAAACCAAGACATTATTTAATTACAAAAGCTAATTGATTTTATAAATAAAAATTATTAAGGACACTAAGAAAAAAACTTTTTTCGATGAATAATGAATTTTTACAAGAATTGTTTTCATTTTCCTTTTTTAATTTATAATACACAAATCTTTTAAAATTCTTCATTACTTTCATACGGTTAGGTGATATTGTTATTAAGTGAAAACTATATTTACTAATCCAAAATTGCAAAGCTTAATACAAATCATTTTGCACCAAGATCTTTAAAATATATTTTTTTTTTTATGTATATAAAATATTATATAACATTGCCCATTTTTTGAAAGTATCGTCAACCATACACAACATTATCAGAAAATATGATAATTGTAGTAAATTTAAATTCAATATTCCTAAAGTTAGAATATTTTCCAACATTTTTAAGATTACTGAGTACTTAAAAATTATATAAAAAAAAGGAGTTCACCAGTCATTTTCTTAAATTATGTTTTAACAGAAAGTCTCTGTAGAACAAAAACAAATATGTTAACACCTTTAAGCACCTATTACATAATTGACAAGCAATGACAAGTATGTATTCACTGATATCATTTATTTTAAAATCCATTTCTTTGTTATTTTAAAGTAAATATTTTTTTCAAATCAGATTAATTATACTTTAAATCAGCTAATATTCCTCAAATAAAGTTTCAGAAAAGCATATTTTATTTTTGGAAGATTTTTAATACAGAGAATTACACTGTGAAAAACGATTAAGATGACTAAAAAAGGGAGTTAATCAGCTATTTTAGAAAATCCCCCCCAAAATTGATTCAAATCAATGTAATTTCTGTTTGAAACACACCAGAGTATTTTGCTTAATGGAAATAGTAAATTTAATTCTTTAGCTTTCAATTAAAGCTAAAATGAAAGCATCAAGAAAGCCTTTTCATTTATAAAAATCCATTTTAAACCAAGATAGTGGAGGTACCTAAATAATAATGGAGAAAAAAAAAAAAAAACTTACTTCATGAGATGTAAATGGGACCAGCATTCCAATACTGCCTGACAATGTAGTATATACTAAAGATTCAGAACCTCCCGGAATTAATGTTGCTTTTTGTAAAGAAGTAACCACCTCTCCAATATGAAAATTAGAAATGACATCAGCCTAGAATGAATAAAAGATGCATTTATGATTTCATGTGAGAATAATGCACAAAATGATTTTAATAATTTACAAAGACATTAATACAAGAAAAAGTGGCTCCTGATCAGAACTAGTTTAAGAATTGTTAATCAAATGAAGTTTATTTCTTTAGAGTTAAATTTAATTTTGATGCAATTTTGTACAATTTTTAAACAAATATTTTCTAATAGAAAATTAAAAACAATGATTTATATTACAAACCTTTTGGGAAGCACCATTCAAAAGGCCTCGATCCCAGAGAGCTTTATTACCAGTTGGATCTTCATCTACTTCATCACAAACGTCAGGAGGTAAACGAATCTGGAATGAAAATCAAAAATGAATTTAGTCTTACATAGTAATTTCTACTTATATCATTAACAAATAATACATTTCATTGTTAGAAATAAATTCTTTGTAAGCAAAATGAAAGCACTGTTTAGAAATCATATTATACAAAAAGTACCAAAAAATGAAAGAAGAACGCTTCAGATCAAATTTAGAAATTGAAATAAAACCACTTCCTGTTGGTGAAGGGAATATTGTTCTGACTGGAAAATGAAATCTGAAACTTAACTTCTTGATTGATAGTTTTCTTAAAATTAAATTCCAATATCAAAATATAAATAATATAATTCCATAAAAGGAAATTCAGATTCTTTACTGCCTCTTTGCATAGTTGCATCCCAACCTTAGGAATAAATCTTTCAAGCCTTCCACAAAATTTCAAAGTAGTCAAAAAAAAAAAAAAAAAAAAAAAAAAAATTTGAAGTACATTAATTTATGAAATTATAAAATTTACTAATAACTTTGGAAAGTAAAAATAAAAAGTGCAAAATTATTATTTCAAATAACTTGTCTCTAATAAGATGATTTATATACTGACCACAGTAACATTTCCAAATTTGTCAGCTGTTGCTACTGTGTCATAGTCAAGGAGGCAGGAACTTGTAACCCAACGGGGGGTAGTGTCATCTGCAAACACGATCAACTGGTTTTCTTGACGTTTATAACGGACAAAGTTGATGCTTTCTTGGATGTCTGATACAACAATCCGATGACCAAGAGTTAAAATACTCATGATGAAATTCGGTATACGCTGAAACAGACATATTTAAGCCAATTAATTCTAAAATAACAAAAAAGAAAACCATTCTGTTATTTTTCAAGACAAACCTTACATTTAACATTGGATATAGTAATGAAATTGTGTGTGTTGAAAAACAATATATTTGCTATATTGGGGAGGGGGTGAAAATAAACTTAAGATTTTAATTAAATTGTCATTTAATGAAACAAGAAATTAAATATTAACATTTGTGCTGCTGTGAACATACTTATATCTTTATGAAATTTACATTACCTTCTTCATATTTTTCTCAAAGGAAGCCCAGTACAACCAGGCAACAATGCTATAACAATACAGCTGTGAAAGTGTTAATGCTCTTTGTGACTTAAATTTTATGAAAATTTAATATTTTCTAAAAGTAGAACAGAAAAAAAATATATAAATTCTTTATTCATTATGACTAGAAAAGAAAAAGAAAATTTTAAAACAATGGATGAGAAAACTACAAATTATGATCATGTCTAATATAGAAAATTTTTTTTGCAATTCATTCAGTAAAATTATGTATTTCAACAAAATGTAATATTGACAAAATTTATAGTTTAGCTTTTTTTCTTTTTTGTTGAAGGGATTTTTGTTCAAGCCAAGGACTTTTTAGCATTCCCTCATAATGGAAAGTGAAACTTTTATAGAAATATTTTTTTATGAATGATTTTGTTGATAATCATGGTCTAAGCATGAAACAAATGAGTATAATTGCATAATTTAATTTTTATTAAATCATATTTTTATTTCAACAAGTTAAATACTTCATTAAATTTCTATAGCTTTTGGAATCTTTCACTAAAAATTTAGTTTCCAACAGTTTAAAAAATTCATTAGACTAGTAATTATAGAACCAATTTTTACTATAATTTTATTATAAAATTATAAATTGGCTATATTTATTTATTTGGTTCACATCTTTTCCCATATTTCTATTTCACAGCAGCCAATGACAAAAATGTAGCGCCTAATTTGTTTTACTATTCAGATAAATATGATCACATTATCAATATATTTTTGTAAGAACTCTGATATTTTAAATGTTTTTCTTAGGTATAGTGTACTTAAAAAAAAAGAGAAGAGGGCAAAAGAAAAGTTTTAAACATGGTTATGTTGTTCACTACTGGAACAAGATGGTCAATATAAAACTAATTTATTGGCCATATCAGCCTGCCTCATAACACATCTATTAAAACAAAATTTAGAAAAATGGAGTGTATTGTAAGAAAAGCATCTCATGTTGTACCTTATTTTCACATTTCCTGAGAAGTTTCTTTTTTCCTAAATCATAAATCCGTAAATAACGTCCAACACCAATCAGAGCTCGTCCCTGGAAAGCAGCAATAGCACCTGGTAATTCATCAACGACTGTTTTATGTACAAATTCTAAATCTTCTCCATTATTAATAAGTTTATAACAATAGATGAATCCACCACTGAGTGAACGGGGGTTGAGTACCAAGTCCTTTGCTGTACCCACAAGAACATGGATGTCATCAACAGCACAGGAAAATTTTACCAAAGCAATACTAAAAAAACAAAAACAAATAATAATAAAGCAATTTCCTAAAAGATTATTAAATATTGTCTGAATATGAAAAAAAGAAAAAAAAAACTTTAGTCAATTCATTGCTAATTCATAGCTTCCAAAAGTTTTACAATTGCTTAAACTAGAAATACTGATGCTTAATAAAACCACATCATTTACGCCAAAACATTAAACTTTCAATGATAGATAATTCATATAAGAAAAGGAAATGAGTAACAATTTCTATAACAAACAATATTTACCATACATTTTATATACACATTACTACATGCATAATGCAATAAAATATCTATAACTGAAAAACCATTTTTCAAAATAAGTTCTAAAATCATAATTTTATATTGTTGAAACTGGAGATTCTAATAGTGTAAAGTTTAGTGTTATAAGAATGAATGCAGAATAAATATTGAGCAATGAAATTTGTTGATACTAATTTTTCATATGAAATCATGAGGGATAGATAAATCCTTTAATTGCTGTTCAACACACAAAAAAATTAATCTTTAAATATCTGAATATTAACTAAAAATACTATAGTATTGAAATAAATAAATAGAAAACCAAAAATCAAAACCTTTACCTGTGAGCAGCTTCATTTTGATCTAATGCAACTTTATCTAAAGTTACCCCACTGACAGGATTAATAATTCGAATGACAGAAGCCCACATTCCAGTTCCAGCTTTGGCAGCACCAAATGTGGCTTCAGGAAGATCTTCAGACAAAAAGGCAGCTGCCATCTTAGCAGCTAATTGTTGTTCCTCTTCTTGAGCAGCTTCAATCATTTCCTACAAGAGTTTATTTGCAGTTAGATTTATTCTTAAAAACATTTTTAGCATTTAAAGCAGGTAAGAAATACAGAGAAGAACATCCTTTAGAATTTTTATAGATAAGTGACCAATTTGTTGGTCACAAGAAATTATAAAACTTATGCTACTGAATTTAAACACATTTCAAATCATTTATTGTACAAGTTTGGTTATACTAGAATTTCAAAAGTAATGTTGAACAAACCTCAGCCATTTGTTGTTTACGTTGCTGCTTAGTTACTTCTGTATATGCATTGTGGTCAGTTTCAATAACAATAAGGTTATTTGATTCATGGTGGATAACAAATTTTCTTGGGGTGTACTGAAGTGGCCATGACACTTGATTAAAAACAGCACCAAGTTTTTCAAGAGCTAAAATTCTGAAAAATAAAAGGTTGTATAAAATAAAAGGTTGTATAAAATAGACTTTGTAAATAAAAATTGTTCAAGTATAGAAAGAAAAAGGAAGACAAATGCAAGCCAATGCCACTGAATTTACAGAACTTGATTGGTTGACTGTTTTGTTTCATGGTTTATCAACTCCTTATTACAAAACTTGATAATCTTATTCCTTTTCATGCACATGTCTTCTAAGTAAATGTTTTCAGTGATAGATGCAATTGTAAACAAAGTAATACCATGAAGAAATAGTTTGAGTTTCAATTTAAAATTGATGTACACTTTGAAGATTGATGAATAATTGTTAAAAAAAAAATGCATACATGTGCTTTTAAGTTATTCCTTCAATTGAGTTTCATCAATGAGAAGAATAGTAAACTACAGAAAGCCTTTGTTGTAAAATGAAATAAAAAGATATCTATTTTTACCTACCGAAGAGTATTTGTTGAGATTGCAACAATACCTTCAGGACACTGTTCAGAAGCAAAACCAGAAGCATATTCCAGAGTCTCATAAGAAAGTGGTGTGAGATGGAATCTATTTTGATATGTGTAACTCAGCCATGATCTACTGGACATGGCTAAAACCTAAAATAAGAAAAATTTTATCAAAAAACAGTATATGTTAAAAAAGTCTAATAAGAAATTTAATTTTTACTAATTTCCATCAAAGTATAAATATCTACATAGTGAATATAGTTTTGTATATATGTAGTATCAAACTTGATTTTTTTTTTTTTTTTTTTTTTTTTTTTAATCGAAGAAAATTTTTGAAAATGTTGGTAGATGAAAGATTTAATTAAATGTAGTGTCTTTTACACTTGATTAATATTAAGTTAGAAAAGAGAGAAAATGTATGATACTAAAGGTTTGCAAAGATTCTATTAGAAAAAGTTTGTTCTCTATCAAGTGTAAAAGTTGATTGTAGTTTAACCCAAAAATGGTGGACATTAATGGGTAAAAATACTTTATTTTTTTTAATCATTTCACCAATAAAGCCACTAAGACATAAGGGGTTACAGTATGTGAAAAAAATATAAGAAAAATATTATTAAAGAGAGAGAATAATAAAAGAACAGGAATTAAGAAGACAGAAGATAATGATTGATATTGCATTTATATTTTTAAAGATCAAAGTTGACTGGAAAGCAAGAAGCCAGGAGAGTTTCACAATTGGGAAGTGCAAGAGAGGAAACTTTTAGCATAGAACTTGGTTATATCTAGCAATTTCAACTGTAAAATGATGAGACCTAGCTGCCAATCTAGTACTGTGCTTAAATTCAAAAAGTCCAGGTACCAAAGAGGAAAGCTCACCAGAAAAAATACCATGAAAATATTTATAGAAAATTCACAGGGAAGATACCTATAATTAAAAACTTCTATAATTACATAATAACATTTGCTGATAAGTATTAAATATTAATAATTGTGCTAAATGCAACAATAGATTCAAACTAATGGACACTGTATAGATTTAGTGACTGGTTTAGAGGTGTATTATCTCCTAAATGTTGAGCATACAATTAGTCTTCAGATTTTTGCTGTGATAGAAACTTTATATCAACTGTACATAAGTAAAAGCCTTCACCACCCAGGGTAAACTGATACTCTTGAGATATATCAAGAATGAGTGACCCATCAATCATCACTGACTTAGTTTATAAAAAATAATACTGCAGATCAATTCAGTTTCTAAAACCTAAAATTTTACAACTGTAAAAAAAAAAAAAAAAAAAAAAAAAAAAGTTTCATCACTTCATTGCTGCTGCAATATTTATTCTATAATTGCAATTAAAACCAACATCAGCTTTGCTTGGCAAATATTTGCTGGTGTGAAAAGTTGTTTTCCATACATTGATTATAACATTAAGATCAATTTGAAAGGATGTTCTACTTCTCCACCATATCAGTTCAATACTTTATCATTTTAAATGTCAAAGGTAGAATAGGCCAGAGGTTAGAAGGAAAGATTAATCAATATATACCAGAAAGGTAATTCAGACAATTTACATGTGTGTGTTAATACACCTGGGCTGGTGATAGCGGAGCATTTATTAAGTAATTATCAATACACCCAATCCTACAATCAAGACTTTCTCAGTAACAAAGGCTCACTCTTATTTTTATCTAAAGGTTTTAGAGTCAATTTATATTGTCCTTTCAGCCATCCCTCTGTAAGTAGGAGTTGCCGCTGCTCGACAAATATAATTAGCCTTTGTATGTATTGAGATCTTGTCACTGGTGTTGTCGATTTTAGTCACTGTGCAACATTATCATCCGAGTTCTGATGAGAATGGAACAACAACTCAGTTAAGATATTTTTTCTATTTTATTAGCTTCTTAATATTACCACTTTATAGTAATGTAACTTCTTTTGTTATTCTTTCCTGTTCTTTTACTAAGTGTCAATTATTAAATTTAGTAATTCATTTAGTTATAAAATGGAAAACTCCCAGCCTATTTACATGCACAATAATGGTATATTCCACACAAAAGAAATAATCTGTATATTGATCTTTTACTTTTTCTATATAACTGTTTGGCCTCCGATTTTCCTAACTACTCCAGAAATTCAAAGCAACTATCAACATACTGACATGATAAAAATCATTTCAGTAAATTATTAAGAAAATTTTAATTTTCTAGACTATAAAAAGACAACTATATCATATATGAAGATTTAATGAATAAAAATATTTGTAAAAAACAAAAATTCCTATTAAAAGTAAAGATCATTGTGAAACCAATCAATCAAATGATGACAGATTCTTTTAAATTGAATACTTACAGCTTCAGATCCTTGCATGGTAATTCTAAACAGTTTCACAGGGCGAGAACCCAAATATCTCGTGCGTGTATCGGACAAATCTCCAGTGACTGTATCTAATACTGTACGTAGTAATACACCGTTCTTAAAAAAAAAAAAAAAAGAGAATAAACTTTTAACAACATGTAAATGAAATAGATACTAAATACTAATAAGTTATAAGAAATTTATAGAAAAATCCACCAAGTAGTCACTCACTATATTATAGATTTTTGTTTTTGTGTGATACAACAGCTAAAATCAAACATGTATAAATTTTGTTATTTGCTATTTTTTATTGTATTTTTGAATAATTAAATTTTAATACACATCTCATTCCCTGAAATTTAAAAGCATAACTTAAGCAAATCTATATAATTACCAGCTTATATACATATGACTTTGTAGTGAAGGAGAAAAGTGGAAGAAGTTTTGTAACAAGTATTTATTGTAATAAGTTTGTATATATCACACAAGAGAATATTTAAATATATTGATCAATTAAAATAAGTAAATATGCCAACTAGTAGTAGCAGGAAAAGAAGTATACTGTAGTTGCTGGAACAAAAAGAACCAAGTAAAACAGAACATAGCCTAATAAGAGATCGGAAAGTCAGGTGAACATAAGGCAGCGATATTCATACTGTTTAACAACAACAGAAATGATACTTACACTAATTATATTTTGCTATTATCGATAGGCGGTCAAATATAAAGAACCCATTTGTTTATACTATGATCAATATCAGGGAACCATGCAATTATGCAGTAGGAAAATTGTTAATATTTATTAAAATGTACTAGCAGAGGAGGAAAAGGTATAAATATACAAAAATGAGAATAAATGTTTTGTAAATATCAATGCCTATTCAGACATACCTGCAAACCAATGTTCAAGAAAAGTCCACTTTGGGAACCACCTTCTCCTGTCTCCTCAAATGATTCTGTTCCACCCATTTCAACAATACACAAGGCTTCTGGAGGAGCAGGTAAAGCTTGCATACTCAATGGTGAAAGGCAATCCTAAAATACAATTGAAACAATCTTGTAAATCCTTTTCTCAATCAAAAATAATTTCCTAGAAAAATTTGCGAATAAAAATTATATCTAAAAAACTTTTTAGCATAGTGATAAGTATATGGGTTTACTGTAACAAGCAACATCTTTATTTGTTCTGGTACAGTTTGCCTTAAAAGAAAAATATTGAAAATTCAAGAGAAAAAAAAAAAAAGAGAATACTATGCAATATATTGTATTTACAGATAACTAGGTATGTAGAAACAAATAAGAATGCTTAGCAAATAATTCTTTCATTTTGTTATATCTATAGAGTAAAAAAAAAAATATATGATAAACATGTTTAAACTGATTATTTACACAATTATAATTGGTTTGCATTGGTTCATTAATGATTTTTTAAGGCTATTAAAATGGCAATAGAGTTATAAATATGAAAATGTAAGTATGCTTCGCTAAGCATTGTCAATTTTTTAAAGAGGATTTATTTGTAAACATTAATCATTAGATGGCAGGCAGTTAAAAAAAATAATATTGATTTAATTTTATGAATAAAAGCCAGATGGTAAAAGCAAAAAATAAAAAAAAATGTACTATTTCACCATTCTCAAATACAAAATGAATATTTAAAGAGACTATTTGAAATTTTACTGATATTATATGGATTAATAAAATTTTCTATAGTTTTTAAATAAAGAAAAGTTTTTTGTTTTTAATTGTTGTACTACCTAGTGTACTGTTGAATATTACTAAATTGGCATACATGTCTAAAACACTTAAGTACAAGCACAAAACTTTTAATGAAGTAAAACTGAGTGAAAATAAATATAATTAATGCAAGTCACTTACTGAAGGATCCAAGGAGATAATACGAACTGTATTATCTGCCAAACCAACAGCCAGGAATCGAGATCGCTGTTCCCCAGATGGTACTCTTCCAAGACCCATGCACACAACATCAGCAGACATTTCTTTTTTCTCTGTGTATTCATTCAACTGACCAGTCTAAAATGGAAAAAAAAATAATCCTTACTCTGTAATAGTAAATAATGTCAAAATTATAATAGTGGTATTCATAATAAAATTAAAATAATCATACACACAGAGAAATACATTTTTTCATTAAATAAACAAAATATTTTCAGTTACTATTTAGTTAATTTGAGTGCCTAATAATGAAAATTAGTTCATGTTTCATAATGGAAGCATATAGTTTGTTTTTTTTAAATTAAAAACTTTTTTTTTTTTAATTAAAAACATATACAGTTCTCTATTATAAAAGAAAAAAAAAAAAGAAAAAAGAAGTAGGTGTTAAACTTATGAACAATTTCATGGGTAGCCAACTTCAGATCAAATTCCAAAGCCATATGAATTTTGTACCACATTGAATCCCCCAATAAATGACCCAAGTGCTATCAAATTAGAGTGTTACTGTGTGGTGTTGTAAGAGCATGAGAAAAGACAAGAAATGTAGTTCATGAGGTTATGTAGGAAAGACAACAGCTAACCCAAGACTTGAAGAGGTCAAAATTGTAATGATTATGAAAACATCCCATCCCATGCACACAACATCAGCAGACATCAACAGAGTCTGTTCCACAAAGCAGCAGTTCTTGGCAAGAAGCTGTCCAAGTGGAACTCACATCTTATTAATGAAATACAAAGGGAATGATTCTTGTGTACATGGCATGGTGGGTCCCAGCTGCAAAGTTCAGGGCTGATGAAACTAAGGAATGTAGCACATCAGAACACATACCATGGAAATAGTGGTAGAGTGGCAAGAGGCTTGTGACATTTTGTTTGTGGGAAAGAGGTTGTAGGGTGGATAATAATTCATCAGACAAGGTCACATAGATGCCTTTGAAATATCAAGGCAGGCAAGTGAGAAATGGGCAGATCCAGTTCAGATATGACCACCATACTTCATTTTTCGTTTGATTTGGCTCTTGTAAACAGAGTATAGCAGGGAGAGTCAGGTATTTACTGGAGTGGTGCAATGAACCAGAAAATTTCCCAGTATCTTTAGCAATAGATTATATATATGAGTTCCACATGAGGTCTGTGGTGAGTTGGAGTACCAATAAACATTAAAGGCAAAGAGCCTCCTTGAGAGAACAACTATCCATTATACTTTATTATATTTTTTATTATAAATTCAAGTGAAAATTCAGGATGTTGTTGATGTATGTGGACACTCAACACAAGGCTCATCCTGTAGATTTATATGCCCCTCTGTGCATGCCCTACTACAGACATCTGTTTTCTGCTCATTACAAGTTCAGAGTGAATTTCTGTTTTCTGTTGCAATTTTGCCCTTGGCACATGAAAAAAAAAACAAAAAAAAAAACATTACACTTATGATGGAAAGCCAGTGCCAAATCATAGCAAATTTCCTTCTATTATATTGTTCATACTACCAATACTGACATACCAAGGAGACAGAAAAAGTTTCTTTTTACCAAGCATGATAGAATTGGTTTTCAAAGCAAAAAAAAAAAAAAAAAACTATCCTTGAAATATGCAAACAGCCTTCAAGAAGATTACAAAATAGCCATATGATGACTCATCGAAAAAAGGCATGTTCCATAAGATCTTCCATATCGCTGCAATGAATGTATTCTGGTGAATCAACCAAATCTATTGAGAAACACTTAATGTTGACCCAGAGCACACTCCAGATCACCAGCAAAGTGAAGGATGTTTTTTGTTAAGGAGGCATTTCAACTCAAGCACCCAAATCTATAAGGAATGAGACCCCACTTCCTTAATGATCAGATCATCTTGCATAGACCTACCTCACTAATATTTGATATAATGGCATTCTTGACAACAGCCAGATTCCAGGGAGTACAAACTAGGCTATCAAGGAATGCCACTATTCACAAGTGGGACACAGCACTTGTTTCAGGATAAATCAGAATGCAAAGTTTTCCAAGCTGAAAAGGATTTTTTGACATCTTTTCCAAATCTACCATTATTGTCATCTTGTACACATATCCAGTTTAGGAAATGTAGTTGTAAGGTATACTGATGGTTCTCAATATTTGGCATTCCTGGACTGCTCTTGTAAGGATGGAAACAACAGGCTTACAATTCACCATGGCACCCATGTCACCCAAAGGACTTTCTTTTGTGAGGATGGGCTATAGCTGTCTTAGAGGGGGAGTTGGTAGTGAAGGTGACAGTCACCTTTGCTGGCTCTTTGTATGTGTCCCTTTTTCTTTTTTTTGTAATATCAATATCAGAGCAAGACAATCTTCAGCAGTAGGTCAGAATATGTCTCACATAGGAAAGGCTGTGACTTTCACAGCCAGTTGGATCCAAAATTTGACAATCTTGTTTGCTATTCTGTCAATGACAATTTTCTTTCCAATACAGATCAACCAATAACTCACTACCTTTAACAAGGTGGGTGTTTCCATGACAGTGATAAAAAATATACCAATTTTAAAAAGAGCTCCTGCTTATTGTTTCTTGCAGTCAATACATCTTTTTAGTTAGTATTTCTTTTTTCAGTTTTATTCACTTGTTTTTTTCTCTATTTTTCTACTTGTCTTTTTCTTTTCTCTTCAGAATCCTCTTTCTAAAAGGTTTTGTAGTCTTGCCAACTTACTTGGTGACCAGGTTTAAAAAAAAAAAAAAAAGAATCATACCTTTATGATAGTAGTTGCAAAAACTATGCAACTATGTCAGTTTGGGTAAATCCTTATCAATCACAGTTTTAAAAAAATTCTTTTAGTTTGATATAATAGTAAAAGTGTCTTCAAAAAATAACATTAGGTACAAAATCCAGACTCACACTAGAGATCTCTCAAGTATTCACTTTATCTTTCCGGTAACTAAAACTACTGTATTTCAACAGAACTATCACCACCAATGCTGTCAATGAATGGTTTACTCTGAATCCATCCTTGCACCAAGCAATTTACATATTAACTTTAGGTTCTCCAGTAAAAAAAAAAAAAAAAAAAAAAAAAAAATGAAAGAGAAGTAATTCATAAAACAAAAATAAATTTGAAGTATTGAAAAGTTTTGACCAAAAAAATAATCAGAATCTTTTGTTGATTGGGCTGAGAACTTTTCTGCATTTCATCATACATGACTGTATTAAGGAAAACAAAACACAAGACTTTTTTTTTTTACGTACAGGGTCCATTTCAAAGTATACCAATTCCCCTCCCGTCAAAGCTATAACCACTTGTCTCTGATTAACTGCACATTTCACAATTGTTTTTTTGCCAGGAGTTTTCCATTCATTCACACGCTTATCGGCACGAATGTGACGGATACCATCAGGATAAATCTGAAAAACATCATGAAAGAATTGTTTCATTAACAAAATTATAAATCCTGATTCATTATTGCATAAAAAAATTAATTTAATTGACGTTTGTTAATGCTGAAAAATGTTATGAACAGAAATTTCTATTGCCACCATCTTGACAGATTTATATCATTGGTACACCTATCATAATATGAATGAGAGTGATCCTTTGTAAGCCTCAATGATTAACCACTTTAAATTTAAAATTTAACCTTTTCACCCATTGGTTCTTACATACTATCAATGTGTGATATATTCATGAAAGAAGAAAATTTTTAATGGGCTATCTTGTTAGCTCATTCAAAATGGTTAAAGCCAACTTGACTAGAATCAATCCTCACTATCCCACAGAGATAAGTGTACTGTAGCTAAGTTACTACATACCTGAACCAGAGCATCATCACCCAACTGGGAACAAGATAATGTAGGAGTTGTACCAAGGAAACCGGAATCTGTTACTTCTTCAACAGTTTCTCCAATGGACAAGACCAAGGTAGCATTCACGAAAGACACGATGATATATGCATCATATTCATCTGAAAAAATAGTAATAAATCAACATATTTTTATTTAGATTATTTTAGAATAATGAATTTAATACTAATAAAAAGGACCTGTATTACCAACAAATAAAGCACAAGTGAAACTTAATAAGAATCCCTGTTGAAATGAGAAACCAGACTGCACACTAACAAGCTAGCCAATATAACTGTAAAAGGAACTTCAAAAATGTTAAGATTGGTAAACAAAGGATTGTCTTTTATACAGAAAAAGTCACATTTACCATTTTAAACTATTAAAGAGAAAAAACAAAACATCTAAAATTTTCAGCATGGACAGGTTAGAAATTTGATATAAAACACAAGCTGCTATTGATGAAATTGGTATAAAATCAGAATGCTAATTTCACTTTATTTAATAAAATTAAAATTTCAAAATTAAACCAATTTTCAATTTCAATAATTATGGGCCTCCTAAAAGTGCAACAAAAAAGTATCCACAAAATGTAGTTAATATTATGAAAAATTAATAAATGAGTGTACTATTTAGTATTGATAATAGAATGCAAAAATATGAATTGTGATAAGATATACAACAAGGTTATTTAGTAATTAAAAGGAAAAGACCAGCAGATAAAAAAAAAAAAATCAAAGACAGGAATACAATTCTTGCTGCAATGGAAGAAAGGATATTTAATTTATAATTCAGATATGTAAAAGGAACAAAATTAATGCACTGCATTATCTATTAATGGATTTACTATTCTGTAAAAAAAAAAAAATAAATAAATAAATAAAAATAAAAAAATAAAGTTGCTCTAACATTATAGAATGAATTGGATAAAGTCAATTGGATCAGAAAAAGAAAAAATATAACACTACAGAATTTATTTTGATTATCATTGAAGATTTTTTTTATTGAGGAAATATCTAATTAATAAAGTTACAAATAAATGTCATAAGAAACAATTGGTAACAAATGTACAGAAAGTTTTTCTCTAGATGGAACTGAGACATGAGGGAATCCATGTTGATCTATTTTATGTTTTCAAAGAAATTATAAGTTGGCTCAGAAATATTGTAGATATATTATTTGAAAATACATCAAAAATACCAATTTGTACACATTAAAAGCAAAAGAAATTATTACAGAGAAGTTTTGACATTTTTTAAAGTTGTGAAAAATTCCAAATGCTCAAAAAGACCTTACTAAATTTGATGAAAGTGAAGCAGAAAGGCCAATATATAAATGACCTAAAAATTATTGTTGTTAATACTTTAAATTGTCATCTTCAATGTCCAATAAGTATGCAAATACTATTTCAGGATGACTTACTAAATATCAATTAGAATATGATAACTCACTCACTTTAAGCCAAAATTTATTTTAAATTTTGGGTTTTTACCTAAAGCATGAACTAGTATAAAAAGGACTGAAAAAGCAATACAAAACTGAATTTACAAAGATTTCACATTAATTGATAAAATGGAGGTGAGTATATAATTCAGGCCATTTTTAAAATAAGATTTTTTGGGGTTTACTTTATAATGAAAAGACTACCCATCTTCAAATAAGTAATATTTTAAATCAATTTCTGTAATCTTTTTTTTTTTTTTAAAATATCATTTTTGAAGCTTATAAAGAAAAAACTATTTTTTTTGTTACAGTTAAAGCAACACTGAGAATTTGGAAAGTCAACATTAAACAAAATGTTTTAATATTTGACATTTTATTAAGGCATCCAATGTTTAACTTTAATACAGTCTTGTTACTAATAATGATACTCAGTAATTGTAATTTCTTTTTATCATGAACTCTTAAGAAAAAAGCAAAAAAAAAAAAATGCTAAGTTAATGTGGCTCAGTTTTTAAATGAATTATTCAAAACAAATTATATTCATAATTTTACATGTTCACAGATTTAAAATAGATTTCAAAAACAAAATATTTTAAAGTTTTACTAATTAGAATATCCAGGTATCAAGAAAAAGGTGATGAATAATTTAAATTTTAATGTTATATATCTACAATTCCTCTTCTGAATTGGAATATCTTCCAAAATAAAGTTTTTAAAAAATTGCAGATATTAATTACAATATGCAAAGTAGAGAAAAAAAAGACAGAAATAAATGTTATCCCATTGAAAACATCAAAAGATAGTGAAGATCTACAGGTTTGAAAAAAGACATAACTCCTGAAAAGTAAAAGAAAAAAGTCTGTAAACATTTTCTAAACAAAAAAAAATATCCAAACAGCCAACCACCAGCTAAATTCTTAAAATTAATAAGAACTTAATCATTGTTGATTTATTATGCGACAAAGAAAAGCAGCAGAGAGATAATGTCCAATAGTCCTTAGTAGAGTTTTATAGTCATAATAACCACACAAATCATTTTTCTCATCTTGATAAGTTCATAATCACAGCAAAATTCTACTTTACCATAGATTTGAATCCTACAAGTAATATTTTATTATGCAATGTGATTTATTTCAATAGTTTAACTCACATTCAGTTGTTTTTCTACAAAATCAGTGGATCAAGATCTATGGATTAAAATCAGCAAACATTTTGGAAAAGTGGCCAAGACTATGGCCAAGACAAACCCAAAGTAAGCCTTATATATATTCTATATAAATTTAAAATACTATATTTTTTATAATTTATTTTAAATCATATTAAATAAAATTTTTCATTATGAAATTTTCCAAGCTAAATTTTTTTCTAGGGATAAAGCTAAGTGAAATGGTAGTTCAAAATTTGTGATTCCTGTCATCAAAATTGAGCATAAATGTTATCAAAACTGGTCCTTATGCAAATTTAGCCTGATTCATCTTTTACAACTTTTCTTGCTTAAATGTTGTCTTAAATTTTTAAATTGTCAAGTAAAAGATTTTAAAACAGAATATCTTCCTTCCAGAGGCATTTGTAAACATCAATTAACTTACACTTTTTCTGTATTTGTTTCCCAGCAGGCCAATAGATTCTAAATGAAGATTTAATAGCAAATCCTCAATAATATACAAATAATATACAAATAAAAAAAATTTTTTTTTAAATTTTATATACATCAAAAGAAAAATAATTATTTCAGAATAATATATTCTGTATGATGTTGGTTTGTAGACTAGATTAAATACCACAGATGGTTGGGTTTGGCTTGTCAGCCATAGTTTGACGATCTTTAAACATGGGTAAATGTAACAATACTGCCTTATAGATGCATTGATATGGAGTAGTATTTACCAGCTAATCTTGAAGACCATTACTACTGCAGGAAGCTCAGTTCTTGCTTGGTGCCTAAAATGTGGCCTTATGCCAGACTAATAAGCAAAGCTTTGTAAATATTTAAAATGCTAAACTGAAAGTTACAAGAGTTACACTTTAATTTCAAGCATCAAAGGTTGTATAAAAATCTGATTCTAAACCAGTAGACATTGCAATAAAAAACAATAAAGAAATAAAAGTAACAGCAACATGCCTAAAAACGGTTTACATTCTCAGAAAAAAAAAAAAAAAGAAAGCATGTTGGAAGGTTGAAGAAAATATGAATACATCTTTTAACAAATAGTCAGCCTGACTGAAGAGCGAATGGAAAGAAAGATATAATCTTAAGATTTGAAATTAAATTCTTAGTCTTCCTGAGTTTTAATAGATCTGTATAAACCAATTATGTCACAGTTCAAAAATTTGACATAACTGACTTTTGAAATACATTCATACATAAAAAGAAAGGAATCTTGTTTCTTTTTTTTGTAAATACAATGTCCCTTCATGAAGTACTTGATTATGGCACTGTACAGATTCCTTTTCTTTTATTATCTATGAATTGCTTTGATTTTTGGAAAAAAACCTATTGGTACCCCCACAGTTTTGAATTCAGGGTTGTCCTCCTAGACTGGCTGCTAGAAAACACTGTCTAAACTCCTATTTAACCCATAGCTGAGGAGAGAATAATGAACATTGAAAAATATTTTATTCCATAAACTGTTTGGATTTCAAGCATGAATAATCCAAGATTTAAATAGAGAAAAGTTTTAAACTAATAAAAATCAAATATATATTTATTCAGTAAAAAGCTGTTCAGCAACCTGAAATACAACAAATAAAGAGATTAACAAAAATGTATTCAGTGAATATTCAAATACTTAAGCTTAAACAATTATCAAATTTAGGACATTTTCTAACTAAAAAAAAAAAGAAAAGAAATAAATACTATATTTGCTGTGTTTAAGATGTAGTATGATTAAAAAATTGTTAGAAATTTCAACACATTTTAGTTTACAAAAATTTAGTTTGATTCAAATCTTTATCAAAACTATATTGCTGTTATGTTAGCTTTAGAATGAAGCATTATTATTAGTGATTCAACATAAAAGGTTATGTGCAAAGAATTCATATGATTATCATACTGTTTGTATACAGGTATTTTATTTACTTTTCATTATATTTTAACATTACTGAATATAGACTAAAATCATTCTGACATGACTAAAGTGTAAAGTGAACCTATAATTTTTTGTAACAAGAAAAAACCTTTTTTCCTAAAGCAAAAGGTTACCTGTAACAGAAATTTTTAGCTTTGACCATTCAGACAAATTAAGTTGGTTTTTATTGAAAAGGGAATTGTATCAAAATGAATGTAATTCATCTTATACAATAGCAAATATAGCAAATTTAATAAGTTTCCTTACTTTATCAGTTAAACTAAAAGTTATATATCCAAGCAAATTGCCCATTTTTATTATAAAGACCTATAGGATATTTTGATGGAGTGGCAAAATAATTTGAAACATGCAAATAAATAAAAACAATTGCATTTTACATTATACAATTTATACAAATTATGAAATTTTAACAATTTTTCTTTCATTAGAAATTAACTAAGTGTAACATTTCCTAGTATAATGAAAATTTTCAAAGGAATTGGACTTTGCAGTAAAAATATGAAAGAAATGATAAACAAAAGAAAAGAGGCACACAAAAAGGGGCATGTATCAATTCCATAGTACTGTCAAAAGTCTGCCGATATATCTGCACAGCAGTTCGAACATATTTCCAAAATAACCCCAAGTAGATTAACATAAACCTTTTTAGTGATTATTATCCAATGAGTATTATTACAGTTTCTCATTTTTAAATCTTTAAAGATAAATTGTAAAGTACATGTCATTGATTTTAAAGGTCCTTTTTTTTTTCTCTTTTATTTTTGGAGCATTAAAAATCTTACCACATAATAGAATAACACTTTAATTTAAAATTCTGTTCCACATTTAGAAGTGGTTTTCATTCTTATTTTAGCTTTAAGAAAAACTAAAAACTGTCATTCTGTGGAATTTAACAAGAAAAAAAAAATCTATTTAAATTATCATGATATTCATGCAAAAATTACCAATGATGGAGAGAAAGCACAAATGAAACATACAAATAACAGCAAAAATATTTTCTTTTCCAGTTAGACGAAAAAAAATAAAGAAAAACAAAAACAAAACAAAAAAAAAAAAAAGTAATAAAAACAAAACTCTGATATACCAACCTGATATGAGTTCTAACCAAGACCATTTTCACCATCTGAAAATAGAAAGTGTAGGCTTGGTGTTGGACATGGCCAATTGAGCCACCAGCCTATTTTATTTCAGTTCTGTTTCATTGCAAATAGAATCAAATATAAACTGACTAGACAACTGAACAAAAGCAATTTCATTAATACTATTATGAAAAATAGAATTTATAAAAAAATAAATAAATAAATAAAATAACGGATTCTTTTTCTTTATTGTAGGTTTTTAAGCTGATATATTGTCTAAATTGTTTTTCACTGAAATAAAATCTACCATTTTATGTTAACGATTGTATTTTATAATAAACACTTATGATCAGCGATGCCTATCAGCTAACATTTTAAAATATACTCTTCCATTTGTTTTATGTTCCAAATAAACAGTAATATAATGTTTAATAACTGACTTTCTTCTTTTAATACAATGCAAAATGAGATAAAATTGAAACCATGGCATTTATTTTACTTTCACCAGAAGAATTACACAAAATATTAATGGAAACATCATGTACATTCCAAAATATTCTTTGGAGTTTAATTGAAATATGCAAGTACAAAAAAATTTAACTAAACATAAGGTTATTCTTTAAAATAATAATTTCTTATCCATCTGAAATAAATATATAAAATATAGTCTAGTCAGAATTTTATTTGGTTTAATATTCATACTTAATGTTTTCGAATCAGTCTAACTTGTATATATTCCCATCATTTCCTGGAAATGGTTGAATATAACTGTTCACAATTTGCAAATATACGGCTATATCCAACATTATCTGAAGAGATGGAATATATAATTCAAAATCAAAAGGATAATTGAAATATGGTCCAACATTTATTTTAAAGTTTTTAATGCAATATTACTAGAGAGTAAAAGTTATCTTCAAAAATGCATTCTGCAAGTAAAGACACAATATCTCAATTCTGGAAAATTTCAATAATGAATTGAAGCGATTTCAAACAGAACTGATAATTAGAAAAAAGATTACAAAAGTAATACAAGAATTGCATGGAAAGAGAAAATTTCTGTCCAATACAAAATTGCCATCTTAACCAACAAAATATCCAAAAGTTGTATTTACAAAAAGAAAAAAAAGTAGAGATAGAAAAAAAATCTCTGTAACACATGAACAGCAACAAAAACAAACATAAAGCAACAGAGTAGCATCATATGTAAATAGACATAAAAGGAAATATTTGCATGTTTATATATTTAATATTCAGAAATGGAGTGTGAATAAGCATTTCAAGCAAGTAAGAATCAATTCAGTTACTTACCTTCAATATTTTTCTTAACAGTCCATACAGCATTTGGATTACCAGGAAGCTCTGAAACAGCCATCTCAGAAACCTAAATTTAAAATAGAAATAAAATCAAGCCATTATATTGAGAAATAAATCAAGCCATGTATTTAACAATACCTAAAGTTTATACTTATATAATTTTAACAAACAAATTGAAATTTGTACATATTCTGTAACCTAATCTTAAACTACTGCTGATTCAAATACCAACATTTTGAATGAGGATCCACTTTGGATGATTTATTAAAATTCTGAAATTTCATCTGAAATATCCACCTATGTTAAATAGGTAATGACTTAAGGTTATTTCAAAGATGCAAAACTGAATGGGGAGGGAACTTGGCACATAACAATTGCACTGGACAAATCTTTTCAAAAATCAAAAACAATATTTACTTCTAAACCATGCCGAAGAACTCTAAGTGAAGAACGTGGTCCTCTCCCACAAAGTGTATACAGCTGAGGGGTGTCTTCATTTGCAAGATCAGCAATCTGAAAAATAGATATTACACTTTCAAGAACTTTAACATCTTTGATAACTGATCTGTATGTACACTTAAATCAAATATATAAACAATAATGAAAATTCTGTCTTACTCTTATTGTGACACTATTTAGCTATGGTAATTGGTTAACTAATTAACCATAAAAATTAAAAAAATAGAAAAAACGGAAAAAAGAAAAAGAAAAAATTTATTTTTTTTTTTTTTTTTTTACTTAAGAATAAAATCAAGTTACTTTCTCAAAGAACCGTAAATTGGCGTAGACAGTAGACTTGCAGAAAAGTCATATGCAAGCTTTTTGACATTTGATTAATGTTGTTTGTACAAGTGCTTGGCGAGAAAACACAAAATTAAAAAAAAAAACAAAAAACATTGAGATATCAGGTCATATACTGATTATAAAAATTTTGGCATGAGAAAGTATTCCGAAATGATTTGCCAATATGGGGTAAAGAGAATCAATATTAATTATCTTTCCAAGGTATCATTTTTTTTTTTAAGTGCCTGCAAGCTGAAAAGCCATATGTACATTGTAGAAAATTTAGGCATGAGAAAATATTTCGATATGGGGTGGAGAGAATTGTTATTATTTACTTTTCCAAAATGATGTCTTCAGTACCAACACGTTAAGTAGCCATATGGTGATTATAAAATTTTGGCATGAGAAAAATATCACAGAAGAATTGCGATTTCGAAGATAAGAAACTTAATTTCTCAAGAAGCCAAGGGTTCCAGTAAAAGCTAACTTCATGAAGGGACCAGATGGCAGACTTTTATTTTGTAAAGAGTGCTGGTTAAGAAGACACAGGGTGACCAAAAGATCTGAGAGATTTTAAGTGGCAATGTGTGATTCGTAAAAATTTTGGCCAGTGGGGGAAAAAAAAAAAGAATTTTGTAAACGAAAATTCTGGGTTATAATTTTAATGAGGCCAGCTTAGCCACACCCTCACAGCCAGAACACCATTGGTCAAGTGGTAGCAATGGTGATAGGCGGAGGTAATTTGATGAGAAGGATGGGAAGTTATTAATGCCCACTGAAGGGATTGGTACAAGGTATTATTGTGAGAAGTGGGGGAGTTTAGGAGGATAGCTCCCCTCTAACCTCTCCTCATGGACAAAGGGATTCCCCCAAAATGGAAAGTGATTAATTTTCCAAAAATGGGAAGTAATCAATTTTTGTAACCTGACAACAAAGAGATTTCTTGTCAGAAATCAAGATTTAACAAAAACCACAGACTGCGTCTAACCCTGCACCGGTTTTTGGTTGGTATCCATATAAAAAAAACACCCTCAGGCCATTCAGTCAGTCAGTTCAAGTTTGGGAGTTGGAGTTGCAGTTCGAGTAGCAGGAACCAGAGTGTTGCCTCACAGAAGCTGTCCAAGAGATTCCACGATCACCAACTTCACCTATCCTACCAATAGCAAGTTATACTGTCGAACGAAGCTAAGCCAGCACTTAAAAATTAAACCAGTTGACTTAGAGGACCAGAATTTGCTTAGGTAGCATAAAAGTGTCACACTCCATAGAAAACGGGTTGGGAGAAAAACACACTCCTGTATATAACAGATGGATAAAAGTTAATTTGTTACTATTAACATACTTGAACCTCTTGGGTTTTTATTTGCTTCTTTTTGTTTATGCTTGTGCAATATCACCTCCAGTCTAGACTCATCTTACACTACGGGCCGACACCTGATTGATCTCGTCTACCCAAGATCAAAATCACAACATGGGTAGGTTAGACTTGAGATCGAAGCAGTTACTTCAGTAACCAGGAAGTGAGCCGGGAATGACGGAGCTGGTATTGAACCAGTTACAGCTGGCGTGAAGCTGTTAGCATAAACCAACCATCCGACTTGGTACCCTGACCAAAGAATTCCGCCAGGTAGTGACAACCACTGATCGATTGGGACACAGGCTGGTGGCAGCGACTAAGAGTTAACCCCAAAACACCAGTAGAAGAAATATTAGTTTTTTGCATCGTGACTGGAAGTTGACCATGGGCTGACAGCTCAGTGTCACAATTAGTATACAAAAATTGGATTAAATATTTTTATAATGAAAAGGTGGAATTTTCATGAGAAATTTTTCAACATATGGAACTGTTTATATGAATTTCAATTTTGTGTTTAATAATTTTAATATTTAATTTAAAGATGTAAAATCATGCAAAAATATTTAAAAAAGTTTGTTTGTCTCAACAATGCCTGTTTATTTTTTTCAGCCTTGATCTGTTTAAGAACAACATTTTAATGGCATAATATGTTATGAATGGTTATATTCTTTTTAAAATTACCTGGAGCCTCTTTTTAACAGTTTCTGCCAGTTTTGGTTCTATAATTGAAAGTTCTTTTCAGATAACAGGTTTGTGAATATTTTTTAAAAAACATTCTCATAGATGAGATAATGAAAAGGCCAGTATGTTCAATTTGGAGAAATTATAAAATCCAATTAGAAGACCTTTCACAAAATTATAAATATAGAAACAAAAAATTATAATATTTTTTGTCTTATTAAAAGCAAGAGAGAGGCTATTTAATATAAATTAAATATATACTGTTTGACATCTCAAAACTATTACTGAAGTTTTATCTTTATTCAGTAAAAACAAGCTCTAGGTTCTTGTATGTCAAATCTTCACAAATCTGTCCTCCATGTTCTTAAGATTTTCAATTATCTACAGTTTATCTCAATTTTTCAGTGGACTGTCACTATTCCAGTTTCTTTTTAAATGTCTTTAATAAATTTCCTTGTGCTCTAATATGGCACATTTTGTTATCTTCATATTACATTCATGTTTTATGGATTTTAAGCAAGATTTGCTTAATTATCTATTTCTCATTCAGTTTGGCTCTATGGTCTGCAAAATAGTTATTACCTTTATTTGACATTAACTTTCACTTATCTATAATTATTTCCATAATTGCATATTGCAATCTTTTTATATTAAAATCTTTATCTTAAAGGATGAATTACTTTTTCAAAAAAAAATAGTAACTTTTTTTTTGTTTGCTGATATAATTTGTTTATATTATATATATATATATATATGTGTGTGAAAATAGAACTTCCCTTACTGCATTCACTAATTTTTTTTAATATTCTCTCTCTGCTACTCTCCTATCTCATCAAATGATCATGGATGTATAGTTTAAAAGTACATCCAGTTTATTTATTAAACAAGAATAAAAGAACATTTTTTTTATTTTTTGTTTATTCAATAACATATTTACTGTTTTGAACTTAAGCATGTTTGATAATTCCATGGTGGAATGTGCCTGCAACCTTTTTCATTAAGAAATATTTATAAAGACTAGAATAAATTCTTAAACCAATGGATTTCAATGCAGAGTGAATATGAAAGATGAATGAAAATTTTTTAGAAGAAAAACTTGACCTATTAATCATCATATTTAATCACCACTTTGGATGAAGGCTGGTTTGGACATGATTTTATTTTCATGGTAGCAAATGACATACTGATGCCAGTTATTTTCCCAATGGAATCATGAGTAATCTTTTTCATTAAATTTGAACAAATTTAAACTCCTCCACTGCTAACAACAAAAAACAGAATGGATTTTATGACCCAAATTTGTATTGAGAATAGCTTAAAAAAGGACTCTCTTTTATTGGTGGTCCTAGCGATCTCCACAACTTAATCAACACAATACCATTTGCTGGTCAAGATGTATGGGCCATAACCTGCATGAAATCTTCAGGGCCCTGCTACATTTTCCCAAACAACCTGGTAGATGATATTTCTGAAAACAAATGTACCAATCTTTTTTTTTTTTTTTCTCTGGTTCAAACACTGAACCATGTTGTTCAACACTGGGACCTTTGATCCATCAAACCTCAAAACCCATAGAATGCAGTGCTCACTGTGCAGAAGTGTATTGACTCATGGCTTTGAGTAGTACTGTGCAAATTCTTCATAGTTCTTATCATTGGTTCTGAGACACTTTGGAGTCATCCTCTGGTCATCCCCAGGAACAAAACATAATCTGAAATTTGTCAAGAGTCACTTGACTGATGTTGGGGTAAGAATTTCCCATAAATAGAAATCATTGGAAAAATCTTCCCGTGCATTATCTTCATCTCTGTAACAAGAATTTTGAAAAATTCTTTCATTGGGACCCAAAATTATCTATTTTTAAAAAAAATTTAACTATAATGAAAAAATGAACATAATTAAAAGGGACAAAATTTATATCCATTCTTTTTCAATAATTAAATTTTCCATGTTAAGATCTTCAAGAATTTAAAAAAATTTTTTTTTATTTATAAACTTAATATAAACAATATACTTTTCTTTCCTAGGACAGTAACCATACCTTCACGGTATCATCTTTATAAAAGCAAAAAAAAAAAATACTACAAGCTCAAACTATTGTCTTCTTAATTTCAACACTGGATGTTCCCATGATGATAAAAAATATTCCCATGATAAAACATTTTATAAACAGAGATCTACTCATCTCATCATCCCAACTTTTAAAAAAAATTTTTTCTAAACAAACCATTAACCATGGAAACCCCAATTATATATCCCCACTTTTCAGTGAACAAAAAAAAAATTCTCTAAATAAAATTTTTTGGGGTAATAATCCACAATTGTTAGAAATACATTAATACAATAAATTTATTTTATTGTAACCAGCTGCAATTGATTATAAACAGGATGAGATATGTTAAGAATATCATCTATATGGAATATATCTTTCTGTTGACTGTAATGAAATGTATATCAAATGTATTTACCTTTTATAAAAAGTAAAATATTAAATCTTATCATCTTCAATATCACCAGTTCTATACAAAACCAACAGAATATGGGAATTCTTAAATCAACAAATTTCAACTCAAAATAAATTCTATTTATTTTGGCTTTCTGATTGGTTAAACATTCTTCTCATGAATTAAAAACATATCTGATAATTTGGGATCATATCTTAAGTCAATATATCCAAAAAACTGTAAATAATATTCATAAGGGTTATTAATACTCTCATACAAATGATTACAAATTCTTGGGCCTTTCCAATAATTTTTTAAAAACCCTACATTAAGTAAGCTATCTTTTATTCAAGAAAATGGGGTCTTAATATTTTCAATAATTCCTTGAAAACACTAAAAAAAAATGACAAAAATCTTTTAAAATTCATGTTATAGTGAAAACATACAAAAAAGATGAATTAAAGTTTTATAAATTCTTCAAAATGCCTTTTTTAAGATGTAAAATTACAGAGATTATGACATCCACTAGAAATAGTTTTTCTTGATACTAAGTGCCTCTTTTCTTTTTGTTTAAATAAAAACTATTAAAAAGAAAATGAAAGCAAGAGCTTCTTGCTTAAAATAAACGAAATGTTTATGGAAATGCAAAGGAATATTGTCTCAATTAAAATCCAAAGATAAGTAGAAAACTTTCATATACAAATGGAGAACTCATTACTTCTACTAAGACAATGAAATATTTAAAACAAGAAATTGTAAAATAATGAATAGTAAACTAGAAGGAAACTGTTTTGTACCTGACAGGACATAATAGGAGATAAACTATCCATTTCATCCACCATTACAAGGTTCTTCAAAGGACGAGGAGAGAAGAAAAATGTGTCACCTTCTTCCAAAGGCATTGCACTACTAAATTCAGGTTCATCATCATCATCACCAAGATGAGCTATCTGGTAGAGGAAACTGAAAGTGAAGACAATGATTATAAGATAGTCAATGTTTGAGCTGGAATATATAGAATTGTTATTTGTTTATATTTACTGCTTCAATATATAATACTTGAATCACTTTAGTCATAAATCATGAATTTTAGCAGTACTATTTCAGACAAATAACCTTTTAAATGTTCACTTCAAATAAATAAAATCACCATTGCTTTCACAAATTTGTAAACCAGATTATGGCATTATTTACCCTCTGATCTATAAAAGCCAACCAATAAGAAATAAAACTGTGACAATGATAGATCAAAAATTGACAACAGCTGAATACATTAATACAAATTTAAGCCAAAAGAAGAAACTGCATTTAAAGCCAATAGATGTTGTAAAGGTAAGAGCTTTTATTTCTGCCCACTGCCTTTACCATTACACTAAAACTCCATTACTGAGCGTTAAGCATTTTTTGCATTAAATATTTCAGGTGGTAGAAGAAAAAATTTAATTAAATACCAAATTTTACAATGTGAACTATAAATTTTGTTTTAGAAAATTTCACTATATGTTGTACAGTGTAGTCATCCCAGATATTTTCATTTAAGATTCACCACTAACAACATGAAAAATAAAGCATAATTTTAAAAATACGTTTTGTTTTTTTTATTACAATAAACTTACTTGAATTTTAATCATTAATAATATATTCAACCAACTATATTATATAGTGCAGTTCCTGAATTGTATTTTATTGTTTAATTTACTGGATAAAAATAAACATGAAAATATACTTACTGATTACCAAATTCAGACGCAACAAAAAGGAATCCAGTCTTCAAAACACACATACTATTAGCCACAGGTACCGTATCAAAATATTTCAATCGGATTTCAGTCACCTATTAAAATAATAAATACTAACAAAATTAAATTCAAATATTAAAAAAAAAAAAAAAAAAAAAAAAAAAACACACTTTTTGGAACAATCAACAATATAAAAGTAACAATTACAATAGACTTTAGTTCAACAATTATTTCAGATAAAAAACATTAAGGAAATTTCATAGACATCCAGAGAATTCAATCAATATTATGTTCTGATTTCTATTTGTAAGTTTGACACTTAACACACCAAAGACAGTAAATTTTAGCAAGATATTTCTCAGTGCAATACTGTTAAAATGCTCTAATTTGAAGAATAAAATTTACAATACAATTTGCAAATTAATAGTGTAATCCATGCTTACTTTGAATGAGCCAATTTCTCAAGGATAATAATTCCCATTAAAAGCTATTTTAGAGAATTTTATTTGCAAATAATTATAAATTCTATAAATACAAAGTGACTTAGCATTCAGCTTTATGGCCATTAAAAGTGGTTTTTAACCGTGTTTTAGATAAGTTACTATTAATGATGGAATTATTCTGTTTTTACTAAAGCATGTTATTATAACCAAGAATTTTTGTCTATAATAAGCCAATTTAAAGGAGATTTACATGCATTAATAAAGAATATTTCAGAGAAAAAGTGTAATATAAGTTTACCATATCTTCATCAGTTTCTAAAGTGATCTTGAAAATGTCTCCCTGTTCTGTTTGGGCAAGGAAAAAGAACATTGACTGTAAGAAAGAGAAAAATAAACAATGAAATTAGTAATGAAATCACAAAGCACTAATTTGAAATAACTTGAGAAAAAAAAAAAGCAACATAAATATACAATTATTTCAAAACAATATTTACCTTAGTTTTGTGGGAAGCATGACATACAAAAATCATTCCCCTTTCAGGGTCATCAAGATCATTCTGTATATTGAAAAATAGAAAAAAAATTCTATTAAAAAAAGATGAAAAATGAAAAAAAATAATTGCATGGGCTTCAAATTATATAACTACATATAAATAGCAACATTTGCAGTTTCACAATGATTGATTGTAAAACAAATATTCAATAACATTATAATTAAAAGAGAAAGTTGAAATTCACATTAAAAATTATCAAAGAGAAAAATAATATATGAAATGCAAAAATATTGAACTGCATACATCCTAAAAATAACTTGTGACAAAAAAGGAAAAAAATACTCCATGCAAAAACATCAATTATTTTTTTTTGATTAAATAGAAAGTATCATGAATAATTTTTTTTTTTTGGGGGGACTCCTCTATAAAAATATTCCACATAGATGTAATAATATATAAAAAAAAAAAAGAATTAAGATTTTCAATAATATATGCATATTATTTGATGTGCACATTCTAAATTAGGCAATCTTGGAAAGATGGGGAATGACATTCATACATATGGTGAAAAAGGTGCAGTGGTCAAAAAAGATTGAGAACCAACAATTTAAACAATTGGTATCACAGCTGAATGAAAAAAAAAAAATCCCTGTTCACAATAATGTACAATATACAGTTATCATATATAATGTGCAAAGTACTGAAAATGTTTTATACAGATTTAAATGACCATTTGTGAGTTAAAATAAAATGTACATGGTGTCTTTTTAACCTAAAAACCTTTTCTGTATTAAAAGGGTTTAAAAACAAATAAGACCAGTTAATTCCGAGGATAAAACAAGCAAATCTAATTTCTCAATGAAAATTAAATTATGAAGTAAGATTCGTAAAAAAACAGACAGGAAATTTCAACAATTTCTTATATCTATCCTTAAGTTTTGTTAGCAATTTTAATTCTCTTAGGAACTATTTTTTATTTAAATGCAAAAATGTATATTTTGCTTAATAAAGTCTATTTAAAATAAAAATAAGTAACATATATTTCATTAATGAGAATCAGTAACAAATAAATATTTACCCTTCTTCTTGGAATTGGACATCTTATATCAGGCTGATCTCCAAAATTTTTGTATGTGATATAGTTTTCTGAGCAAATCAGACACCCACTTGGGCCATCACTTCCTCCAGGAACTATTAACAAAATACAAAAAATAATGGATGGACATTACTTCAGGAACAGCTTTTATTTTGTTCATCTGTTGTTTAAAGAGACAATATAAATTTTTTGATTCCAAAGACAACAGCTCAAATAGATATGACCTTATTTTTTCAAAAGTAAAAGTTTAAAAATTTTAATTCATTTATATTTTTTTGAACATCAGATCCATATTATCTTGAAAAGTGTTCTTCTAATAAAATATACCTTATGCTAAGAAACACATTACACAAGTAACAAAATCTACTTGAGTCCTAAAAGTTTGAAATATATCACTGAATTTTAGACCAACATAAAAAGCCACTATTTCAAATAAGCAAAACATTTTATTAACACCATCCAAAAATGTGGGTCATTTCTATTCACTAAATAATTGTTTTTACAATGCTCTAAATCTCTAGGGAGATAACTGCCAAAGTACTGCTTTTCCACCTTTCATAATATTTATCACATTGCTTCACAAAATGTTTTGAATTTTTATTTTCAATATTTTGTACAATGACAGAGATAGAGACTCCTGATTTTCCTTTTTTAGTGCAATGATAATTCATTTTCTGATAGATGTATACATTGTTACATTATAAATAAAATTTTCAGTTTTCAACCAAAAATGAAAGCCAATCAGCATAGTTTCTCTCATATTTACATTATCATTACTTATTATATGCTTCTCCTATCATTTTTTTTAAACAATCAATATCTAGAATTGATTGAACTACTTGGGATCAGTTAATGGTAGGCACCAAAAGAACTATCTTTGTTTTGACTCTTCTTACTCTGGCCATAAATGAAGATAATGATTCATAGAACTGTTGAAGAGATAACTTTGCCAAAATGTCACATAAAAATATCTAAATTTCAAATGGTTGAGATTAAATTTCCAATGGGAAGCTGAAATACAAGCAATCTTGTTTATTTTTACTTAAACCACATACCTGTTACTTATATATTTTTTAAAGTTGCAATTTAAAAAGAAGATATTTCATCTTACCTGCAATAAGTGAGTTTGCATGTTCTTCCAATTGTTCAGAATATTTTCTAACAACATGATTAAGTCCCAAATCCAGTTCATAATAAGTGAGCATCTGGTGAGTCTGTAAAGCCGATTCTCCCGTTGGATCATTGTCTGCTTCCTTTAATAAAAACAATACTTAGGAATTCAATAGAAATCTACTTAATACAAACAATCATTTGAATTAAACAAAAAATAATCTGCCTCTATTAAGCAACATCTATAATAGGCCAAAAATGTAACCATTAAATGATTAAAAAAAAAAAAAACAAACTTAAAAACTATTTTACCACACATATGCTTCTGTCATTTACATATCAGTTATCTGTAAAATTTAATAAGATACTACACTGAGAAAGATAAAATAGTCTTTTTAAAAATTTATTAATAATTAATTTTATGATTTAGAATATGAATCAAGTTAGATATGAAATTCTGTGAAATAATGGATTTCTTCTTTGTAGATTGTGCCTTTTTAAAAAAATATTTTTTACAAAGATTATTTAAACAGCAGTAATAAACTATTAAACAAAGACTTGTAAAATGTTTAATGTTACTAACTGAAAAATAAATTTATTCTATTAATGTTTTTATTTGTAATTATAAAAACCTAGAAGACACTGTAGAGATTATAAGTAATGTAAATTGAGTACTAGAAATTAATGCAGAGTTGTAAAATAAATCTCTATAAACTGATGTCATCAATAGAATTCTTTAGCTCAAAATAGCTTTAAAAATGATTTTAAAAATATTTGTTATTACTATGCAGCTTCAAACTTCAACTGTATTTCCTTGGTTTTAAGTGCAAATTTATAGCACCCCAGCTTTTTTCTCATTAAACATATTTTATTAGTAAATACATCCACTACAATCCAGCCGCCCATTTTTCTGACTGTTTCTTGACTTCCCAAATGTGTATGAGTGGGATAAACATGATCCACTTTAAGGACCATGACTGTATTATTATTAAAATATTTATATGAATAACTGAAGTTCACAAATGAAAAAATAATCACCAACAGTACAGTAATAGTTTCAGCTCACTTGCATATTTCCAAAACAGGTATGCACCTCAAATTTCCATCTTTAGAAGTGCATCATAAAAAGAATTACTGAGATTCAATTTCATCAAAAGTTACAATTGTAAGAATCATGATATGAAATGAACTTAGAAAACCATAAATTTTTTTCAAAACCTTAGTGAATACAACACGAATGAAACTTTTCAAATCATACCATAAAAGCATGAAGGGTTTAAATAATTTTGAAAAGCTTATGAAACTATGTTAATAATTTTCACTTGTTAGATATTGGTATTTACTGAGCTTAGCATTGCACAATGTGACAAAGTAAGGCACCCAGTGAAAGTCATACTCCATACTACAAGAGTAATGGTATCAGAGATTAACTTGCTAATGATTACTCCACAAAAAGGTGCCCTTTCCCATATTAAATGAATAAGGCTATAGGGATAGTAAAGTGGGTTGTACCAACCTCTGAAATGAGAACCTTGTTACCTTGAAAATCACCATGTGCAGATAGTGTAATGGTTACAGGCAGAGAAAGTGGAATAAGCAAGTAGAGTTCATATCCTAGCAGAGTCTGTCATTGTGTGCTTGGAAAAGGCATTAATCTCTTCTTCCACCTAGCTGAGTTAAAAAGCCTTCTAGACTAGGCTCTTTTGCCAGGGGTGGTATCCAATCTAGGAGAAAGATTATTCAGAATTCAAAAACTGTGAAGAAGGCAACAGAAAATTATCCCACTATTGAAGCCTAAGAAGTAATGACAATTTGCAGATAATAAAAAGAAAAGGAATCAGTGAAGACCCACAACCTATGTCCTAAAAGATGGCAGGTTAAAAGAAAAGAAAAAAATATGCCAAACAGACCATTCAATCAAATGACATTTTGTAAGTACATAATTTTTTTAAATATATGTTTAAAATGCTTACTTCATAGTCTATTTCTAGGCAAGCAAAAGTTGGGTTTTCAAATCCTACATCCACTCCAACCATATGATATACCAGTGTGTTGGACTTGTGAGCTTCTAATGGTGATGAAATTGTTAAGCGGGCTTGGGCATCTCTGTTCAAAATATATACCAACTTTTGTTTCTCAACTGCACCTATAGAAAGCAAGAATAAAAACATTGTCAGTAAGAGGTGAATAATAAAATTTCACCAAAATTTTATTGCATTGAATTCAACAAAGCTTAAACAGTGTAAATGATTACAAAAATGAATTCTTAAACATGAAACTTAATGACTTACCTGTCATAACAGCTCTTCCCTTTGGGTCAACTGCCAAAAACTGACCAGGAACAATTCTCCTGCAACCACTTTTACCAAATGTTTCTTGATGAATCTTAAAAAAAAAAAAAAAAAAAAAAAAAAAGTTGGAAGTATTTTGAAAATTAAAACAAGATAGATGAAAATGAAACAAGATAGATTAAAATAATCAATATTGGTCTTATTTTGTTTTTCATTCACAACTTAAAACTATTCAAATATATAAAACATTTTCAAAATATTCTAAATTCCAATCGCACAAAGCACTAATTCAAGCTCAAAACGTTTGCGAATTTAGACAATGCACCTATACAATTAAAAGGAATTGTAAAAATAATATTTAAAAAATGGTTACAATTATTTTTTTTAAATTTAAATTATATCCCAAATTGTTTATTCTAATATATTTTAACTACTTGTCTTCTTTCAACATAATAATTCAAAGATTGCTTATACTTAAATATTCTCAATATGACATCTGATGTAATTAACAAAATTTTGCAAATTAAGTTAAATTATTATGGTATTTAAACTTTGATAGTAATAAAAGAAATTAATAAATAGTATGCAGAATGAAGTTAAAAAACGTTTTTCAACCCTACATCAAATTAAACCATTATATCTACCATTTTCAGTGTCATGGAATATAAATTGAGGATTAAAGGAAATGGCTCATTACAGCAATTAAAGCAAGTACAATATGAAAATTATCAATCAAAATTCTTCAGCCATTAATTACAAATATGCATATAATTAAGAGGAAGCACAATTAGAATGCATAAAATGAGAGAAAAGTTAAGAGAATGATAAAACATACCTTTTCAAATGCATTTTTGGCTGGAAGATATTCCAAAATTACAATACGCCCAGAATCAGAACCAACAATTATATAGTCTGAAATAAAATTATAAATCAAAATATATAAAAAAGTTTAATATTGGTATCCAATATTTAAAAAGAGAAAAGATTTTTCATATCAACCAGTACCAAGTACAATTGGATAGCTAGCCACACTAATAAGGTGTGATACAGAGAAAGTCTGTGGACGACTAATATATATATATATATATATATATATATATATATCACAGAGTAATGATAAATATTTTGTATGGCACCATACAGAGGCCAAGATTTATTTTAAATTGATACCTCCATTATAAAAATGTTCCTACAATATAAAACCAGAGATATTTATGTTGCTTAATCTGTATGGAACAGGTTGAGAAAACAATTACACAAATAACACCCAAATTTTTAAAATTTACTAAAAAAAAAAAAAAAAGCTAATTAACAGTTTTAAATCAAATATTCAACATTAATATTGCAATTAAAACAAATTTTAAGCTTCAAATAGATTGCAATGTGTTTTCATTTTTTTATACAATGGGAGGTACCTACATCAGTTGATTAAGTATTTAAAAACAATTACCAAAGAAAATATAGTGATGCCTTTTATCAAAAATTCTAGATTAACAGACATTAAAAAAGTTAGCTCAAATTTTAAAGTTTGATAACTAGTAACATGAGTTAGTGGAATTTCAACAAATATTGCAGGAATTCACAGGAATTTTTTTTTAATGAAAATTTAAAACTACAACACAGCTCTTTATAAAGATTTTACATCTAGAATTACTTAGATACAAGAAACAAATCATGCATATTTAAGTACACTTAAACAAATAAAAGAAAAGTCCACTTGAAATATTAGTTAAATAATTTTACTTCAAGTAGTATTACATTAATTTCATAAGAAAGGTGTATAAAATTTGAATTTACTGTTACAGATCCAAAGTCACACCTAACAAAGAAATTATCTGAAGATGAAGTGTTTTCCTCCAACTCTAAAACAGGATAAATCAGTGAACAAGAGAAAAACAATAATTTTCATTTCTAAATTTAAGAAATAAAATTATTTTTTATACAATTAAAATGTAAGAATGTACAAATATTATCTGAAAGCAACAACAGGAAGAATATTAGTTATTCAAAATATCTTATGAAACTACTGCCAATAACATGTTAATCTTTTTGCAAACAAAATAAAAAAAAGTAATATAATCAATTAAGCAGTACACACACACAAACAAAAAATTATCAAAGCAATAAAAAAAAAGTTAGCAATAACATGTTGCAATGTAAAAATTACAAAATTTAATACAATTGAAATATTACCAACTGCCCTAATGTATGTTTTAACTATACTCATATTGGAGGTGTATGTTTATGCCATGATCACATACAAATGAACAATTTCTGATATGAAGATACATAAGGCATCCAGTTGTAACAGAGCATGTGAAGTTAATCTCAAAAGTCATTTGAGGCCACCAAGTCATCAAAAGAGTACAACATCCCATTCCTACTCAAATGAAGCAATTTCTAGCAAAATGGACTGAGATATTAAGTTTGCCATAAAGTAGAAAAATGTTGATGTCACAAATTCTAGGCGTGTATAATGTCAAATTCAACCTCCATGGTCACTTCACTGTAGACAGAATTCATTTGTAGCCTTTATGTATTGCAGTTAAAAAAAAATTATAGGGAACTCAAACAGAAAAAGATGATAGGATTGAAGGTTACAGAGTTCAATTTGGGATTTAATTTTTTGTCAGCTAAACAAAAAGAACTTAAAGAGCTAAACTGTTTTGTTTGTGAAACATTATGCAACCCTGAAAAATATTTTCAGACTAAAATTCTCAAGATTTAACATTTGATTGACATTTTTTGTCTGTTTTAAAAGTAAAAAATATCTCAAACTACAAAAACTACCAGTAATTCTGTAAGCTATTCAAAAAAATAAAACTCAAAGCTATAGAAAAAGATTTCTCAGGAGTTTCAGCTGTACACTACACAATTAACACAAATCTAAATACTTCAGAGGCTGTTCAGAACCCAGTTCGCTAGTTGTGATATTCATCATATTCCTCAGATATCTTAGCACTCCAAAATTATACATTGGAATTCTGTCAGGCACCTTCTCCTACATATCATCAAGGTAAGTATCAACTATAATTCCCTATTGTAGGGTTATTGTTATAACAGACTCATACTTAGTATAACATAAATCGTTAAGTATTCTTTGTGTGTAATGTTTAGGCTATTCCTGTATGTCTATATAGTTAGTATGAAGACTGACTCCTAACCTCATCCCATGGAACTCTTTATAGTATTGAATGAGTTCATAGAGTCACCCTTTACTCCACAACATCCCTCCTTTTGAGATTACTACTTTATTAAATAAATATATTTTTCTTTTCATTTCGTATCTTCCCCTCCTCTTTCTGGAAAAAGAAAAATTAATCCCTTGAACATATCTGGAGTTATTTTCTTTAGTTTAAATAGTTCACATTCTCTGTTGATGGTACCTGCATATGTGACAAAATCTTCATCCTTTTTTTTTAGATAAATTCATGCACTTTCACCTGGTTTTCTCAATAAAATATAATTGCGGTACTTTTCATACTCTATTGGAGCTATTTTTCTTTGCAACCACCTGTTTTTTTTTATCTTCTTCCCAGCCACTGCACGCCTGACTAAATATTTCTTCATGCCTGCAAAAATATGTAGCAAAAGTCAGTTCTTCATCAGGACTGTATATGAATTCTGATATGGTGGTTTGCACCACGCCTGGTGTAAAAGAATTATTCTTCGAAACCACTTCAAACAACTCGTTATTGATTTTGCAACTAGTGTTATTTCTATTGTTGAATTTCAACTATTGAAGCTAAAATTTTTTCCATATCTGCAAGAAAAAAAATTTTTCTTTTTAAACCAACACGGTTGAAATTCTTGTAACTCTTGTAGCACACAAGTTTAAAAAATCTGGTCGCCCAGTATTGTAACTCCAGTTATAATATGGTGCTTCTTATACCATGCTGGAGTTCAAGTTCCTTGTTGTCAGATATCATAACTCCAGTTATGTTGCGATTTTATCCCACACTTGTGTGCAAGTATTCTTGTTGACAACTATTATAACTCCCTATTGTAAGATTATTGTTACACACTCGTACTTGGTATAATGCAATACATTAAGTATTCACTATACATAATGCTTAGGCTATTGCCATACTCCTGCATAGTTAATATGAAGACCGACTCTGATACGATTACTCCTAACCTCATACCATGGGACTCTTTATAGTATAGGATGAGTTCAGAGAGTCACCAGAGGTGTACTCTTTTCTCCACAACATTATCCTAACTGAATAGGCACAAAGGATAGCGCATTCCTTCCTGGGATCCCAATAATACAAGTGACTTCAATTCCCAGTGAGACTTAACTTTGCCATGACTCACTATTTACATTATTTGGACTATTGTCCTATATTTGTTGTCATATTTATCACAATGTTTCGGCCGATGTAGACTCCAGCCTTCTTCAGGTGGTCGGAATGTCGAACTGAACCCTTTATTTTGCTCACTGGAGTAGACTGTTCTAGTTCCACGTGCCATGTCTAATGGATGTCAGTTATCAGTTATCTCCTGTTAATTCCCCTCTGCAAGTTCTCCACTGCTTTAACTGGGTATTGAACTCTTTGGGTCCTGTCACTGGATCTAACCAATGCCTTTATCCACTGTGCCATGTGTCCTTGAGAACATCTGGGTATTATAAACCTAATATCTCAGCAACTATTATTTTACCAGTGCTCATATTGCATCATATTCCTCTTTCCAAGTTCTCCGTTGCCTTAACCAGGTATTGAACTCACAAATCTTTGCCATGACTATCAACAAGACAAGAATAATCTTTCAAGATCACTGGCCTCAACCTGACTTCATGCTTTTCCCATGTCCAAATTTATATTGGTCATTATAGAATTGGATCCTGAAACAATTATTTCATACTTGTGGACAATGAGAGAAGCACTACCTAAAGACCCTGTCAAACTAATGACATAATTAGTTTTGCCTTATGCATCAGAATATTTTTTCATGAACTGCCGTTTTTTTCTATGTAAATAGTCTTGCTTTAATTATTTGTTGTGT